TGCTTCAAGCAAAACTGTTATACCATCAAGATGAAAACAAACATTTCGCTTTTGAACATTGTTGGCCAATATTGCAAGACAATATCAGGTGGCAAGATGTAGCTCCCACGAATACGGTAAAGTCAAGGATGCATACAGTGTTTACCCCTAATTCAGCCCCTGATTCCCCTATGGAAAACTGCATTTCTCTTGAAGATGACACCAGTCCAAGTGTTGGTAACAATCTTAGGGCATCTCCAATGGAGCTGCTATATCAGTTGTCAAAGCTAAAAAATGACAGAAATGGCAAAAATCAGTCTCCAATGGTCTGCTATTTCCCTTGCCAAAGATGGCAGATGCCATATGTGTTCTCAAATATGGCAAGTGAAATAGCAGATGCCAACCTTGCCAGATCAGCAAAAATCAACAGAAATTGGCACCAAATTCAGTTGAAAAAATAACAGAATTAATCCAGTAGGGAAGCTATTTTCCAAAATCAAACCCAATTTTTACAATCAAGCAAATTTCACATGAAGACAGATCGTGTATTTATATATATATGATCATTGGAGATGAAGACAGCTTGTATATATATATATATGATCAAAATCAAAATCAAACCCAAAATATATATATATATATATATGATCAAACCCATGAACCTCTGCTGACCGTATATATATATATATAAATATGTGATCAAAATCAACCCCAAAACACACATAGCAAACCGTATATCAAAATCAAACCCAAAACACACACACATATATATATATATATGTAATATGTATATATGAATATTTTTTATGGAGACCAAAACACAGCAAACCGTATATATATATATATATGATCAAAATCAAACCCAAAACACACAGACAGATCAAAACACACAGACAGATCAAAACACACAGACAGCAAACCGTATATATATATATATATATATACAGACAGATCAAAACATATATATATATAGAAGAAGATCGTACCAGAGATGGAGAGTACACAGATCGGAGGGAGACAGAGTCAAACCAGAGAGAGGGGGTTCCGATCTTGGAGGAGAAGGGGGAGATCGGGTTCCGATCATGGAGGAGAAGCGGTTTCGATCTTGGAGGAGGGGGTTTCGATCTTGGAGGAGAAGGGGAGATCGGGTTCCGATCCTGTGCTCTGTTTGGTTTGTGCTCTGTTTAATTTCGGCCATGGAGGAGAAGACACAATGAGAATGAGAGGGAGATGAAGAGCTGTGGAGGAGATGAGAGGGAGATGAGAGTGAGAAGAGACTGAGATAGATGTATGCAAAAGAGTGATGGGTCAGTGTAAATAAAAGAGCCGTTGGGCTCTGTTTGGTTTGTTCAACCCAAAAAAAAAAAAAAAAATTGAAATTAATTTTTACAACGGCTCTTTAAACGGCTATTTGCCAAACGGTAATAAATTTCATTTCTATAAATTGAAGCCTTTCTTTCACTTTTATTTCACACAAATATTTACATTTAATTTTTCTTTTCTCCTCTCTTCTTTGAATTTAATTTCACAACAAACCTCTTAAATTATATTCTTTTTAGTTTTTTCATCCAATCACTATGGAAGGTTCATCAAAAACAAAGAGAGAAAAATCATTCACCGTTGAAGAAGATATGGCAATTTGTAAATCTTGGTGTCACATTTCGGAAGACCCAATTGTTGGCAATTCGCAATCGTATGCTCACTTTTGGGGAAGAATTTACGAAAATTTTTGCCTGGTTTAGAATGATCAGTCCAGAACACAAGTGTCTATTCAATCTCGATGGGGTATAATCATGAAATGTTCTAACAAATTTCGGGGATGTTTAGCACAAGTCGAAAATCTTCACCCAAGTGGGATTTCTCAAGTTGATATAGTAAGTTTTATTTTCAATTATTATGTTTAGTTTCTTATTCTGGTATCGTATAAAAATTACGTAATTAAATAATGTTTCAATATGAAAACATTTAATTTTTTGGAATATTAAATAATGTTTATTATTTATTATTCAATTATTATTTATTTTATTTAAATAATGTTTTGATTTTCAATTACATTTAATTTTTATCTTCAATTTTTTTTAAACAGATGCTTCAAGCAAAACTGTTATACCATCAAGATGAAAACAAACATTTCGCTTTTGAACATTGTTGGCCAATATTGCAAGACAATATCAGGTGGCAAGATGTAGCTCCCACGAATACGGTAAAGTCAAGGATGCATACAGTGTTTACCCCAAATTCAGCCCCTGATTCCCCTATGGAAAACTGCATTTCTCTTGAAGACGACAACAGTCCAAGTGTTGGTAACAATCCAACTGTTGGTGAGGGCAGTGCCGCTGGAAAGGGTAAAAGGCCGATGGGTAGGAAATCTGCAAAAGAATTATTCCGAAGAAATCAAGTCATTGAAACTGAAGTCCAAAAAATGAGTATACAGTTAGACACATTTAACCAACACCTTGATGAGAAAGAAAAGAAAAAAGAGAAAAGAGGAAAGAGAAGAAAAAAGGATTCAAGCACTGCAAGATATGAAAGAACTGGAAATGAAAAAGCATGAGTTTGAGATGAAAAAGGAAGAACACCACATAATGACTACGGACATTTCTCATTTGGACCCTCAGATGAAAGCGTATTACACAATGCGAAAAAATGAGATTTTTGCCAAGTGGCCCTCAAATGTGAGCAGCCCAAATTTTTATTTCCCCCTACCTTTTGATGAATAATTACGAGATAATGTATTTTTGAAATTTGCAATATCATTTATATTTTGATGTAATTGTCAGTCTTTATTTGAAATGTAATTTTTATTTTGTAATGAAATTTCTTGTTGTTTTTTTTATTTTATTTTTTAGTATTTTGTACTTCACAATGTAAAAAAAGACATTTTATGAAAAGACATTAACTGACATTAAAAGACATTGTAAAATAAAAAGACATTAAATGAAGAACATTTTATTCGAATAAAAAGACATTAGCTGACATTAAATGACATTAACTGTCATTAAAAAGATAAAATGCAAACTTAATCTAACTCTCCAGCTCGGGACCACAAGTGTTCAATTAGATCATTACGAATTACATTATGGGCTTCAACAGATCTAATCCTTTGCCGATTCAACATAAATTGAGCGTACTCCTCATTCGGATCGCGTGACACTTGACAGCCCAAATTACTAGTATCAGTCTCAAGTTGTGCTGCACTGTGTTCATTTTCTGGAATATCACGCTCGTCTTCAATGATCATGTTGTGCAAAATAATACACGTCTTCATGATGTAATATAGATCCTCATCACTCCAACCTCTAGCCGGCACGCTGACAATATTAAATCGTGCTTGGAGCACTCCAAATGCCCTTTCGACATCTTTCCGACATGCCTCCTGCATCCTCGCAAATAGTTGTCTCTTTGCGCCTTGAGGTTGAGATATTGTTTTCACAATCGTTGCCCAACGAGGATAGATACCATCAGCAAGATAATACCCCATGGTGTATGCGTGATTATTGATGGTGTAGTTGGCAGCAGGGCACGTCCTCTAGTTAATTCAGCAAATAAAGGCGACCTATCAAGAACAGTAATATCATTCAGAGAGTCAGGCATGCCAAAGAAAGCATGCCAAATCCACAAGTCATAGGAGGCAACTGCCTCGAGTACAACTGTTGGTTTGTGATAGTGTCCAGTGTAAGCATCGGCATGGGCACTTGGACATTTATCCCAACGCCAGTGCATACAATCCAAACTCCCTAACATTCCAGGAAACCCGCGTTGCTCTCCCTCTTGCAATAATCTGGCGACATCTGCTTCATTTGGAGATCTTAAGTAAACGGCTTCATAGGTAGCAACAATTGATCTGGTAAAAAAATTTAAGGCGGCAATTGCAGTACTTTCGCCGATTCTAATGTACTCGTCTACAGCATCAGCAGGCACGCCGTATTGGAGGATCCGAAGTGCTGCAGTCATCTTCTGTATACCGGATAATCCAGGAGCACCAGTGGCATCACGAGTTTGGATGAAGTACTCATTCACTTGTTGAATATTGTGTAAGATACTAACAAACAATTACCGCCTCATTCGAAAACGTCTTCGGAAATATTCTTCTGGATAGACAGGATTATCTGCAAAATAATCTCTATAAATTTGTTCGTCGCCTTTGACCCTCTCACGATTAATGTATCGACGACCATTTGTGGAACCAACACGTCTGGTTTGTTGGTTTAGGCTTAACATCTGTAATCTTTGTTGTTGCGCTGTGAATAGTTGCATCATGATGATATCATCATCAGATGATGAAGATTCATCAAAATCTCCATTTAATATGGCTTTACTCAAATTGTTCATTGTAAATAGATGGGTGAGTAGGTGAATATGAAAATTGTAGAAAATCTTCTTGGTGGATACAAAGAGTTTTGAAGATATGAAAATGATAGGTAGGTGAATATGAAAATTGTAGAAAATCTTATGTTATATTTATAGAGAAAATTGTGGGTGGGTGAATGATGGATGGTTGTTGGGTGGGTGGATGAATAATGGATGGTTGTTGGGTGAGTGGATGAATAATGGGTGGTTGTTGGGTAGGTGGATGAATAATTGGTGATTGTTGGGTGGATGGATGAATAATGGATGGCTGTTGGGTGGGTGGATGTGAGTGAATGAATCCTGGGTTAATAATGGATGGTTGTTGGTGGTTGGTTATTGGTGGGTAATTGGTGAAAAATTATTTTTTATATGTAGTTAAAAAAATTTATTAAATATGTAGTGATATATTTTTTGGTGGGGTGAATTAATAATATATATATTTTTTTTCAATTTTTAATTTTTTATATTTGTCTAGATGAGAATAATATAAATATATAATTTTTTTAACAAACAGGTAAAAAAATGTCACAAAAGACAAAAAAATAAACAAAAATAAAATCACAAAAAACCTATATCCAAACAACACCTACAAAGTTGAAGGGAAAGTTGGTTGGGATTTGCCAAAAATAGCAAACAACCATTGGAGCACCATTGCTATAATTTGACAAAATAACACTATTCATTGTCAAATTATAGCAATAGCAACTCTAATATAGCAACAACCATTGGAGATGCTCTAAGAGTTGTGATGCTAATTATGGAATATGCCCTAATTACATTGGTTAATTAATTTGTATAATTAATTGTTGGAAATGAGGAATTGTATTGAGAATGTTGAAATGTTGATATATTATCCATTTGTGCATTTATTTCCTGCTTAGAAATAATTGCTTTGGGCTACCGGTGGAGGGTAGTGTTGATTGTTGTAGACAATGCATGATGATTAGGCAAACTAAAACTAATCAATTGGTTGTGTCATAGAGTATGATGGTTGATAGAATACATTAACTTTATGTATTGAGTGATTATGTATATGACTAATGTGTTTATTTGCATTATGTGTAGACGGTTGGTAGAATGCATTAACTTTATGTATTGATTGATTGCGTATGTGATTCTGTGTTTATATGCATTACTTGTGTATGGGAGGAGATAGGGGATGTACTCCACGGTTTAGGGGAAGATGTGGGATGTACCTCTAAACCGGTTAATGGTTTAGGGGAAGATGGGGGATGTACCTTTAAACCAGTTAATGGTTACGGGAAGATGGGGGATGGACCCAGGGATGCAGCTCATATGCTCACCCATTGTAGTATTGAAGTGCTGATACAGCTCATATGCTTATCTGTTGTAGTATTGATATAGCTCATATGCTTATCTGTTGAAGTATTGATATAGCTCATATGCTTATCTGTTGTAGTAGTGATATAGCTCATATGCTTATCTATTGAAAAGTTTGTTTGATTTGATATAGCACTAAAATGTATATCATCATCGTTTGTGAAGTATGGAAGTAGTTTATGTGTTATTGATACAACACCAAAATGTGTATCCACCGTGAATTTTGAAAATGTTCTAGTGATGAACTATAATCTCATCAAAATGTTTTGGCCAGAGTACTGAACCCCGTTTTCAAACTCAAAGTTGAATAAGAAATGAAAAGTGAATTGACTATTTAGTGTCTGGTTTTGCACCAAACACTTGTGTTTTGCCTTAGAGGGGTAGGGAATGCTTTGTGAGGCATCCCCACACACCACCGGCAGTGGCTAGAGGCCACCGGCTGTTTTTTTGATGCCATCGGCAATGTATTTTGCCGGTCGGCACCTTTTGTTGCCGGTCGGCACTCCTTTTTGCCAAAATGGAATTTTTGGCCGGCCGACTACTGTGCATCTGCTTTTGCAGATATTTTATCACAGCTGTCTTGCTTTTGGCTCCCCTCCATACACGTGTATGGAGGGATCTCTCTCTTGGAAGCTTGTCTTGTAAGCTTTACAAGACAAGAAGCTCTATAAGAGAGAGCCTTGTCTCTTGGCTTTAGGGTTAGACACTTGAGAGACTTAGGATATTTTTGGACAGCCATTTTTAGGGTTTTGAGTTCTAGGGTTAGAAACCATACACTTTTTATCTCTATTTCTCCCTCTTGTGTGTGTTTAAGTGCACTTGTGTCTTACTATTGCACACAAACACATAGTGTTTCACCTTCCCTTAGTTTTTGAGGTTCCAAGAGGTTGGTTTTGAAGTTTTGGAGCTGTTTTCAAGCCAAGGAGGGCTGTTGGAGCACCATTGTTGAAGGGGTCTCCAAGGGTAAGAAACTAACACCTTTATTTCCCATTTTTGCATTGTATTTTGACCTATCTTAAAATCATTTTTGAGCTTGGTGTACAATACAAAAAAGTTCTGTTTTTAGGCCCTCTAAATTGTTTGTTTAGAGTGTTTTGTGGTTTGGAGGTGTTTCACCCCTCTTAGGCCTTGAAAGGCCCCATTTTGTGCTATTTTGAGTAAGTTTCGAGACTTTGGTGTTTAGGCCTCTTCACCACTGAAATCTTGAGGGATTTCAGTGGCGAAGATGGTGCCTTGAAGTCTCCAAAAGGAGAGGGCCAACCCCTCTCCTTATTGTCCTTAAAATGGACCATTTTTGGCCTCTTGAGGGAGCACCTAGCTAGGCTTCATGTTGACCATGCCTTAGTTGTTTTTTGTGCTTAATATGTCATATTATGCCTCTGTTTTTTGTTGGTTTTGGTACACCATGCATGCTTAGCATACCTACCATGTAATGCCATGTTATTGCCTTAATATGCCTTAGGTTGTTAGCCTTTGTTTTAGCATGTTTTAGGCTTAGCCTTGTGAAGGTTTTGTGCTCATTTTGCCACGTTTTAGGTCTGTCCTAGGTTGTTTGGGTCGGATTTGGCATGTTTAATATAGTCCCTTTGCATTTTGGCTTGTTGGCCTCAAGTGTGTGAGTTTGTTCGGCCATGACATGCATTTTATGCCCCCTTTGCATTTTTGGTTTGTTGGCCTTAAGTGTATGAATGTGTAGCATGGCATTCTTGCATTGATTTAGTGGTTTGGAACTATCCACCATGTTATTTCAGACCTTATAGCATGCTTGTATGTTTGCTTTGGACACCTCTTTGAAGCTTTGGAAGCTTGACTTGCATGTCCCATGTTTTGGCCTTGTGTATGCCTTTGAATTTGAGCCACTTAGATGCCATCTAGGGGTCCCCTTTGCATGGTCTAGGACTGTCTTGAACCTATTTTAAGTCCTCTTAGCCTTGTGAGGTTTGGTTGGCTTAGCCATGGTTCAAGTCTCTTTGACTTGCTTCAAGTACTTGGGCCATCCATTGCATGCTTGGTCTATTTTGTTTGCTTGGTTTGACACCATTCTAACATGAGTTTCAATGCTTACCTTGCATACCATATGCCCATGATTGCCTCATTCAAATGTGCTTAGAAGTAGCCCTTTGAGGCTTGAGCATTTGTGCCTAAGTGTTGGTCCAACTTACTTGCATGTGTGTATGTATGTTTGATTCCAATTTCTTGACTTTTGGCCACTGTTTTGGTCCTTTTTAGAGCTGCCCAAATCATGTTTAAGTCCAATCTTTACATGTTGTTACATGTCTCACACTTCGCATGCTTTGATTGCACCGTGTCTTGCATGACCATTAGCTTGTATGCTTGTTCATTGCTTGCTTGCTTGCATTGCCATGTTGCATCCCTAGCTAACATGCCTAGGTTGCATTGAACATGCGTGTCTTGTCCCTTGATTTAGTGATAGGGATTGGACCCCTTTGGTTTGTTGGTTTGCATTACACTTAACATCAAAATGCGCACACTCGGTCACTTGGACCATCACGCATGGAAATGCGCGATTGATGGTCCGAGAACCAAGGAGTATGTCCCTTTGAGTTACAAACATGATAAGGGGCATGATTAGTACATAAATTGCTTGAATTGTATTGCCATGCAAGTTCTGTCCTCTGCTGCTGTGAGTTGCAGGTTCTGCAGGCATTCTTTGCCGACCGGCAATGTACATTGCCAACCGGCAGTTATTATTCTGCCGATAGCTTCATTTTGTGCCAGTGACCACATACCACTGCCGGCCCTTTGAGTCACAAACATGAAGGGGGCATGATTAGTGCATACATTGCTTGAATTGTATTGCCATGCAAGTTCTGTCCTCTGCTGCTGTGAGTTGCAGGTTCTGCAGGCATTATTTGCCGACTGGCAGTGAACATTGCCGACCGGCAATTATTCTTCTGCCGATAGCTTCATTTTGTGCCGATGACCACAATTTGCTGCCGGTGGTGACTCTACTCAATCGGCGGTGATTCCCAGTATCCAGAGGAGCATCTTTGAGACTTTGGCAGTCTTTAGAGGGGCAGAGCAGGGAAAACAGAGGCAGACTAAGCATGGCAGTGCACTTCCGAGCAAGACCCGAGCACGCGCTGTATCTGGCCCTCCTCCCAAGGCGGTTTATTGTTTTTCCTAGCTTAGTTAATTTGTTAATTAATTAGGCAATTTGTAATATTAATTAGCTTGCGTAGTTAATTAATCTGTATTATTTATTTGATCCCTCCGAGTGAGGGCAAATCTGTAATAAGTGT